TTCGTATAATATATTTTATTTAATATATTGGTCACGTATTTTAAGTGGCACTATATAACCCTAATACCCTTTAAAACAAATTTAAAAGCAAAGAACCAATAATTAAAATTTTGAATTGCTGCTTAAATTTACGAGTCTGATTTTTAATTAACTATCGAGCTATACCCTGTTAAAAAATACGTTGTTAAGCGAAAAATCTTGAAAACTTTTGAGAAGTTACTTAATACTTCGTTATTGAAATAAGTTCGAAAAACTCCAAAATATTGGATAAAAATTCAACGATAACTGTTACACACCTTTGGCACCTTTGTATGAAAATTACATTATATTAATTATTATCTTTCGTGATCAGGAATTTTTTAACAAAGAACAAAACATACAGATTCTGTAGGGTGTAAACACCATATACATTAGTATTATTCGAGGTTATATTTAGCTCTTACTTTAACTTACTTACTGCAGTGTTACCCGGATATGACTTAATTCCAGTATATCACACGTTCATTTAAAAGAAACAAACGACAATAGGAAAATTCTTTTCCAAAATATTGAATACCACAATAACAACTGTAATGTTGTAAAGATTTTAAAATCATTGGTATTATATCTTAGAGATATGACCAATCCCTGTACAGTAAAATCTTGGAAAGCAATTGACACCAGGCTCAAAGAATGTTATAAACAGTCTATTATTAAACTCCCAACATGTTCTGCTTCCATCTCTTCATATTAATCTGGATTTAATGAAGCAATTCATGAAAGCGTTGAAACAAGATAAACCATGTTTCCAATATTTGGGTAAGAAGTTTCCTGAGGTAACTTCTGAGAAAATAAAGGCTGGAATTTTTGTGGGTCCTGAAATTTGCTAACCAATGATCGACACTGACTTTGAAAAATGCGTAGAGCAGCTTTAAGTCAGTTGTTAAGGGGTTTTTTAGAATCAAAATAATCCCAATTACAAAGAAGTAAATGGCTTGTTAAAAAGTTTCAAAAACCTAAGTTGTTTTATGTATGTAAAACTTCATTTTCTTCACTCACACCTGGACTATTTCCCGGATAATTTAGGAGATTACAGCGAAGAACAGGGAAAGAGGTTTCATCAATATATTAAATTAATGAAGCGACGTTATAAAGGCAGATAGAATACTACTATGATGGCTGACTGCCTTGTCTATAGAATTTTAAGAGAGAGGAAGTTTCTTTTGAGTTAATAGTAAATATCATTATACTAATTAGTATAATGGTTGTAGAAAAATAAAATAGAGTCATTTTTTAACTTAAAACCAATGATTTTTTTATTTTATTTAAACTATAACACTAGCAGAAGATTCTTCTTCTCTCTTCTCAAGGATATAGGTCATGAAGATTATGCACAGACTCTATATGTATAATGAGGTAAGTGAAAGAGAAATCCTTAAAATACGACAAACCAGCATATCTATGTTTCGTGAACCTTAAGAAAAGGCATTTATATATATATATATATAATATATATATATATATATAATATATATATATATATATATATATGCCGGTTTAGAACGTCCTTCTCCGTTGTCCGACACCTAACTTCCATCCTCTTCTATCGTGGCAATCTTCCGTTGATAGATTCCGTTCGCTCATTGACTTTTTTATGTTTTGCTGCCACTCTAGTTTGGGTCTTCCTCGCTTTCTATTCCCTATTTGGGTCCAGTTCAGTATTTTTTGGCATCTAGTATTTTGCATTCGCTCTACGTGTCCGTACCAGGTAAGTTGTTTCTTTTCGATATCCTGAATTATCGTACCTTCTATTCCCATTCGTTGTTTTATATGGTCATTCCTCATTCTTTCTCTTCGTGAGACTCGCATAGATCTTCTTATCGCGTCCATTTCGACTGCCTCTACCTTCTTTTTTTGTCTGTCTGGAATTCTCCATGTTTCCAGCTCCATACAATAGGCTGCTCTTAACCATTGTCTCGTATATATTAAATTTTCTCCTTTTTGTTATCTCCTTGCTCCACAAGATGCCATTCAGACATCCTATTATCTTTTTAGCTGTAACTATTCGTTTTTCTATCACATTCACATATGTTCCGGTATTGTCGAATGTGATACCTAAATATTCATATTTTTGACATTGCAGAATTTCTTGACCGTTGTCCAACTCCAAATTTTCGCTCTGAGAGCCTACACACAGATATTTCGTTTTATTTACGTTAACTGTCAAGCCCCATTCCTCATACTCTTCTATCAGCTTTCTAATCATATATTGCATGTCGTCTTTGTCATTGGCCACTATGACCTGATCTGCAAACTGAAGAGTAAACAGGTATCTGTCATCTATCTCTATACCCATTCCGTGTATTTTGCTTTTCCAGTTCTTAAGTGCCGCTGCTACATATATTTTGAATAGTGTAGGAGAGATAGGACATCCCTGACGTAGTCCCTTATTCACTATGAAGGCATCTGTGAGTTTTTTACCTATCTTAATTCTTGATTGTGAATTTTCATACAGTTCTTTAGGTGCAGCTATATAGTTGTGATTGATGTTCGTTTGTTCTAATACCTTCCACAGTCTCGATACTGGGACTGTATCATATGCTTTTGTAGGTCCACAAAATGTAAGATGGGTTTCCAGATGTCTAGCAAATCTCTTCTCTATGACTTGTTTTAGACAAAATACGTTGTCGGTACACGATCTACCTGCTCTAAAGCCGCTTTGATCTACTTCTTCTTTCTCTTTATAGTCTTCTTCAATTAGATCTCGCAGTATTCTACTGTATAGTCTGCTCAGTGTACTCGTGATTGATATGCCTCGATAGTTGTTACAGTCCAGTTTATTTCCTTTTTTATGGATGGGTGATATATAAGCTGTTTTCCAGTCTTCTGGAACAGCATGTCCATTTAGGCATTTATTGATAATTATTGTTAGATTTCTAAAGAGTTTTTCCGTTCCCCACCTTAACATTTCGAAGAAAAATCCCTTCTGGTCCGCTAGCTTTTCCTAACTTAAGGTTCAAAACTGTCTTTTTTACTGTTTCTTCGGATACCTCTACTTCTTCTCCATTTACTACAAAATGTTTTGGAGATTCTATCATGTATTTCTGTCTAGTTTCTTGTAGTAGACCTTTGTAGTGTTGTATCCACTGCTCCGGTTTGATTATCTGAATATTTGCTCTGTCCTTTGCTGGGGTTTTTATATAAGCCGGATAACAATAGAGTAGTCATTCGGCTTATATGATAGGCAAGAGATGGTTCCCAATAGGGAGACTACTTACTGGATTACTGGAGGCACATTAAAACAGTCAGAGTCATATCTACATAAAAAAAGAAGATTAAGCGTAGTCACTATAGCAGACCTATCTTTTTGTACTCAAGTTTGATGGCGAGTTATAAAAAATCTGTACGTGATAGGGAAAATCCGATGGCAGATTGAGAATGACCACGGAAAACGAGTTCTAAAACACCTTTCACTTCTCAGTCATCGATCTTTTAACTGCAGCACTGTGTTATTGTTATGTTTATAGTGTACTTTATAAATGATTTTTTTAACAGTCTTTTTGATCTTATATAGCGAATATGAATAAAAATTTTATACTAAAAATGGTTATACAACAAGAAAATTTCTACATATTGTATCAGCTTTGTTCTTTGTTAAAAGTTCCATCTCCATACAACTAATACTGAGCCATAGAAGAAAATCCTAATAATAAGAGTAAGCTGTGAGATTTAAATGTTTTGCCATTTCCACAAAGTCACATTTATTATTTTTTTGTCATTGAGTTTAAAATGTCAAATTATAACAAAAAAAAATGAGTAAATTTTTAAGCCCCAAAATCAATCAAATTCTGAGCTGTAGACTAAAGTCTGATCTTTTAAAATATGTTTTCATGTTCATGAGTGTTTTCCTCGCTTGTTCGATTCTAATAGGATATCTTTTTTTTGGGTTACACTGGCTGTCGATTTTTGCTCCCAAAAATATTTTATGGAAGTTACCTGTTCTATTATTTGTCTTTTGGCATACAAATGTACGTTTGTTGATATCTTTGAAAATACGAGAATTTTAATTTTAGTGAAAGAATACTAACAGGAGTAATAGGAGGAACGAAGAAGAATTGTTGAGCTTGTACAATAATCCCAGTAGGAAAATGGGATCACAGGAGTATTTGGTACATTGGACTGGCTAATAAGTTGATACATATCAATGATACAATACACATTGAGGCATTTTCTTTAAATAAAATCTGAGATTATAGTTACTAGTGGCGCTACCAAAAATTGTTGCTGAACTGGTGATAAGCCATTGCCAGTAACTGTGTAATATGCATTGGTTGCGCCGAGATTATTTAGTCCAAGTTCGAGCATTATTTTTAACAGTTTATTAGATTAAGCCACCAATGGCTCCAAGAGTATTGCACTTACAATATAATCGATTGAAAAGTATCTTTTAATTTGCTACCTCTTGAATGACTTACAATTAGACTTACAGTTCAGCATAAATTTCAAGGCTAAAAAATCTATGAAAACACCTATGTGGAAATGGCTTAAATTCTTACAAAACAAATGATTTTAAACAGACTCAGTTGTGAATTTTCTTAATGGCTGGACACTTATCTACTATAAAAAATCACAGGATTTTTTGTCATATCTTAGTATTATTGCTATATGTACAGTCAATGATTATTTTCTTCTTTGGTATATCATGTTTTCGTTAAAAGTGGGCCAAAAAATGTGTTTCTTAAATATGGTAATATGAATTAGTGTCGCCTCGATGGCTCAGCAGCCTGCCGGACTCACTTTGATATGAGTCGTGATGTAATTCGACTCATGCTCAGACTATAATTCGTTCAAATGTGGTAGCATTGAATTTAAAGTAAAACTACAGTTTTAAGTTTTCGCAGTTCGATGATACTCCTTATTTGGTCTCTATTGAAAGACGATAAGATGTAAGAAAACAGATATATACAAAGATCTAAAACTTTGATACCATGTTTCAAAAAAATATCTTTTGACCCACTTCCAATTTTTTCAACGATCAAACTCACCGTCTTTTTCTATATCACGCTTTGCTCGGTGACTGAGACTGTATCATATTTTTCAAATAAGCTACAGACATGTTATTTTTACTAGGAGGTGGCTGTGTGAGCTGAGAATCTAGATTAATATTATATTTGCACAATAGAGTACTTATATAGGCCATCCTGTACTGTTTGTTCATAGTAACGTACACCACAGGGTTGACACAACTCGACAAGTAAACCAGCAAATAACTGATGATGTGTAGCGGTGCGTGATGTACTTCCACATCAAAAATTTTGACCAGTGTGATTGGAAGATAGCAAACAACGAAGCAAATGAAGATGACCAGTACCATTTTGGTGATCTTCATTTCGCTTCGTTTATATTTATTACCAGAATTATGCTGTTGCATCTTCTTGTGGGACTTTCTCACTACCCAGTATATATTGGCGTAACATATAACTATAATAACACAAGGTAGTGCGAAGCCAATAATGAATAGAGCTGTTTTGGAGCTGTTACCATGTTCGTCCGGGTTAATGGAGCAGGTTCCAAGCTTTGTGTCCATGCCGTACGTTCCCCATTTTCCTAGAAGTGTAGGTATTTGCAGACCGTAGCTGAAAGCCCATATGGCACCAATGTACATTGCCACTTTTGCTTTTGTGTAGATGGTTTGGTAAAGGTGTGGCCATGCAATGAGGATATATCTAGAAAATAAATATCGTTTATTAGATATATTTATTTATTTACTTATTGACTCTCATTTTACAAATATACAAAAGATTATAGGTGTAACTTTAGTATTACAAAAAGCATAGCTTGTTCTATGAAAATGTAAATGAGACAAGGTTTCATATTTTGTATTTCTGGTGGAAACTTATATTCAAATTGCTGAAAAAATTGTATCGAACCAAAATTGTACTGAAGTAGTTACCAGGACAATTAATTCTCCAAAAGTAAGTAACTGGTAAGAGGTCCCTGAGGGCCCCTTCGCTTATTATTTATTCAAGCCGTAAGGCAAAAGTCACGTAGCCGCAAACTGTTTTGAATCTCCCCCACTAGTTCGTCTAGAAACGTTTTAAATGCATTTTAAATTCATTAAACCTTATCGTTACATTTTCGTCTTCAAGCTTCAAACTGTTTGTGCTTTGTGATTCTCAAGGTAACGCATATTATTTTGAAATATACAACGGTGCAGGCGACAATTTATTCTTCCTGGCGCGTACGTTTATCACAGACCATACCCAACTTTTCTCATCCGTGGTATCTACAACCTTGGTTCTTCTTCTTCTCGTGCCACTCCTAGCGGAGATTGGAAATCATCATGGCCACTGCGACTTTGTTAGCAGTGCGCCTAAAAAGTTCAATCGAACTACACCCGAACTATTCACGTAGATTACGAAGCCACGATATTTTTCTTCTTCCCACACTTCTTTTGCCCTTAATTTTGCCCTGCGTTCCCGATGTTTCTTAAAAGTTCGTACTTTTTACGTCTCACAATGTGCCCCAAGTATTCCATCTTTCTAGTTTTTATCTCATTTAGAATTTCGCATCTTTTGTCTAAAGTTTGGAGTACTTGCGTGTTAGTGACGCGGTCCATCCATGATATTCTGAGAATGCGCCTATAGCACCACATCTCGAAAGCTTCGATGTTTTTTATGGTCAACTGTTTTAGTGTCCAAGCCTCAACTCCATATAACAGGGTAGAAAAGACATAACACCGCAGCATTCGTATTCGTAACTTTATATTGATATCACGATTGCAAAAGAGTTTGCGCATTCTATTAAAGACTGATCTAGCGATTTTTATTCTACATCTAATCTCTTTTGTTTGATCAGTATCGTCTGTGATCCAAGCACCTAGATATTTATAACAGGGCACACGCCCAATCGTTGTATTGTCTATTACAAGATTAGCTCTGATGTTCTTTGATTTCGTGATTACCATAAATTTAGTTTTTTTCAAATTAATTTTCAAGCCGTAACTGTTACAGTATATATTGAGACTTTGAACGAGATGTTGTAGTTCTACTAGCATTCCCGTAAGGAGAACTGTATGTCAGCATACCTTATATTGTTGATCGTCTCACCATTTATTATCAGACCAAGATCTTCTTCCTCGAGTGCTTGTTCACAGATAGCTTCACTATACAGATTAAATAAAAGTGGCGATAAAATACATCCCTGCCAGACTCCTCGACGGATTTGAATTTCTTCTGTTAGTCTGCCCCAACCTTGACATTTGCTGTTTGATTCCAATATAGATCGCATATAATTCGAATATCTCGGCTGTCTATATTTTTCTTTATTAGAACTTGTTTAGTGGTTCATGTTGTACTTTGTCAAAGGCCTTTTCGAAGTCAATAAAGCAGGGCGTAAATTTCTTGGTTCATGTCTAAGCATCTCTGTAAGAGAACGTTCATTGCAAACAGAGCCTTCCTTCTACCCAGCCCTTTTCTGAATCCCATCTGAGTATTACTGATGTCTACGTCTAATTTCCTATAGATCCTATTATGGATTATTTTTAAGAACAGTTTTAGAGCATGACTCATCAAAGCTATTGTACGATATTCGTTGCATTCCTTTGTATTTGCCTTTTTTGGCAGTAGTATAGAGGTCGAACGGAGCCATTCCCTAGGTATTATTCCAGTTCTATATATTGTGTTAAATAGATCTAGGAGTATTTTAATAGATTCATCGTCCATAAGTTTGAGCAGTTCTACGGGAATTTCATCAGGACCGGGGGCCTTACCACTTTTTGCTTGTTTGATTGCATATTCTATTTCTTCTCTGATTATATCAGGCCCTGTATCATCTGTATATTCGTTTGAGATTTCTTGTCTATCTTTGTCATCAAACAGTTGTGATATGTATTCTGTCCATCGGTTCATTTTTTGTTGTAAATCTGTTATAATTACACCATCTGTATCTTTGATCTGTCCTGTCTGAGTTGTTCTTCTCCTTCCTGTCATTTCTTTAATCTTTTTGTGTACATTAAAAAGTCATATTTTCGCTCCAATTGTTCCAACTCCTGGCATTGCTCACTTAGCCATCTTTCTCTAGCTTCTCTTATTTTCATTTTTATCAGTTTATCTGTTTCTTTATATCTCATCGGATTATTTGTTTTGTGTGCCCTTCTTTCACGCATCAACTGTAGTATTTCCTCATTCATCCATTCTTTATGTTTCCTTTCTTTCGGTGTTAAATTTTCTCTCCCTGCCAACATTACGGCATGTTTAATATTCTCCTATTTTTGGTCTATGTTATCAGTATTTCTATTCAGTTTCTCTATATTTTGTAAATTTTCTTTGATGTTCACTATTGTTTTCTCTTTTATATGTTGTTCATTCAGTCTTCTTACGTCAATTTGTTTCTGTATGTGTTTTTTAATGATCTTTAGTTTTATTCTTAATTTGACTACTGATCCGAGCCTTTATCTGCTCCTGGGTAGGTTTTAGCTGAGAGTATAGAGTTGCGGAATCTTTGACTAACAAGGACACAGTCAATTTGGTTTCTGACTACTCTACCTTTGGTGTCACTCGGAGATTTCCATGTGTACAGTCGTCTGTTATGGTAACTTGAAAAGAGTGTTAGCAACTACTAACTCCTCTGCTTGACAAAATTGTACCATACGGTCTCCTCGTTCGTTTCGTTCTCCTAATCCATAGTCACCCACATAACCGTCCACACATCCATGTCCAATTTTGGCATTAAAATCGCCCATTACTACTGTAGTATGATGTTTCTTCATTGATTTTAGAATTTGTTCCAGATCGTAATAGAAACTTTCAATTTCATCATCATCTTTATCAGCCGTAGGAGCATATACTTGTATAATATTTATAATTTGTTTATTTGACTGAAGTTGTAGTGTCACAACCTTGGTACAATGCGGCAAATAGAATCCCAAACTGTAAATTTCCGTTGGATAAGGATATCACAGATGAAGAAAGGGGATATTCTGTTGACTATGTTGGATCTACGTACGGTGTTGATTTCAGTACAATTTCATGGAAAGATACCAAGAACGTGTGGCTGGCATCGACTTACGTTTGCATTGAGCCGTTTTTGAGAGCAAATCCAAATCAACATATTGCAAAAGTATCACGATGTGATCAACAAAAAAAGGAACTCCATCGAAGTCAACTGTCCGCAGGTCATTCGCAAATACAACAGACATAGAAAAGGAGTAGATCTAATGGATGGATTGATGGGTCACTACTATTTTTCCTCTTCTCTCCTGAAAATATCGATCACATAAAAAAAAGTTGTTGAGAAGAAATTGTACGAAATCGCCAGTGCAGCAGTGTTAGGCCTACCATTTTGTCGAAAAGTTGAAAATTACCGAGATTTTGAATAAGACTTTCTATAAAATCAATCCAATGCAAGGTCTTACGCTCACGCCTTTACTGCATACGTAGTAGCTCAAATATTGATTTTAGCAAAAAAAATTAAAAAGATCCAAATTGTATGAACTAAAATTCTATCAATTTTTATATGGGTACATTTATGTCGTGAAATTATTAATTCACGAGATAATTCAATAATTATGATCAAACTGTCACTATTCTTCTTCTTCAAGTGCCGTCTCCATCAATGGAGGTTAGCGGTTATGGTGGCAAACGTTTGTCTATCTTCAGCTGCTCTTAAGAGTTCCTCAAATCCAAGTCCTGTCCAGTTTCTGATATTACGTAACCAGGACAATCTTTTTCTTCCAATTCCTCGCTTTCCTTCTATTTTGCATTTTATTATCAACTGAGGGATGTAGTATTTCTCGTTGCGCAACAAATGCCCTAAATGACTGGTTTTTCTTCTTTTGACTGTTCTCAATAGTTCTTTTCTAAATTGAGTCTAGCTAGTACTTCTTCATTTGTTTTTCGTGCTGTCCAAGGAATTTTTAAAATTCTACGGTACACCCACATTTCAAATGCCTCGATTCTATTCAGGCTCTTTATTTTTAAAGTCCACGTTTCACTATTTTCTTCCTTATCTCGGAAAGTATCTTCTACAGAAAAAAAAAATTTTAAATGAAATTGTAGGAAATCGCATTTGCAACAATTCCAGTTTTTACCATTTTTTCCTAAAAGTTGAAAATGGCGGAGATATGTATGAAGCAAAAACGGTTCTCCTACTATCGATACCCTCTAAAGATTAGAAAAATAAAATTTGAGGCAGCTCAGCACACAAGGTCAAATGCTATCCCAGCTGGAGTATTAAAACTATCCTAAGAACGCAATAAATAGCTGTAATTTCTCATTGTCCAGGTCGTTTTCTAGAGTGATAATTAAAACCTTGTCAATTTGGTTACACGTTATGGTTATCTGAATATGGCAGACAAATATTCAGATTAAAGCCTTATTTTGTTAAAACTTCTAGGCACTGTAAATTCAATTTGAATTCCTTTAGATTTGCAAAAATTGTTGATCCAATAGTGATATTTGAAGACAATCAGTCATGCATAAAGATTGCTTGTACTCTAGAAACAAAACGATCTAAACACATAGATGTTCGTCATCACTTTATTAGAGATTGTGTTTTTGAGAATAAAATTAAACTAGTATATGTACCCAGCGAACAGCAGTGTGCAGACATGATGACAAAAGCATTATCTTGTGTTAAGTTCAAAAATTTTAGAGACTGTATAGGTATATGTAGTATTGCTAATGATAGTGATCTGTAGTATTGATACTTATCTGATACTGTTGTTTAATAATTAGTTTTAAGTTATTTTGACGGAATTGAGGGGAGGTGTTAAAAATACCACAATTCCCGCCTTGATTTGAAAGTGACATATGTCATGTCAGATTGTGACTTTAATAAGTCAGCGGACTTCACTTGTTTTTGTACTGTTCTATGGTATTGTAATGGCCGTTGGCTGTCAAAATTCTTTTTATTAAAGAATTGAATAATTATTGTTTGTTTTACTTCTTCGAATCCAGTAATCACTTCATATTTAAGGTCATATTTGTACTAGAATTAATACCAAAGCGTGTTTTTTTTTAGTAGATTTTTTTTGGAATATTACGTGAACAATTTAAAATATTCATATTATTCAAACAAATACTTAGGAACCAATTCTACTGCAGTTATGTCACTACACTGATTCATTCTATTGCATTTTGAACAATTGAAAGGTACTTGGTACGAATAAAATAATCATGGCAAGTTGTTCGCCTTGAGGTTGGTAAGAACTATAAAAATAATAACATTATGTGTCATCTACCAATTGTTTTCAGAAAAATGTGAACCATTGATGTTTTGCTCCATATAAATTGTATAATAGCTTTCAATTTTCAATGTCTATTAAAATGAGACAGGAGGGATTAAATTACTGTTCAGTTTGTGCTTGTCTATTTTTATTCAATTAAATGTGTTATTTTATCGTGATTCCAAACAATTTCTTAATATTGTTCTGAGGCTATTTTCTTGTGGCATCTTAAAGTAATTACTATTTTAATAGGAATAAGCCACAATCGAACTTTATAAATTTATTGACGTTTCAATTTCCACTTCGGAAATCGTTCTCAAAGTCGCTATTGACTCCTCGGCCTGATTTCATTACCCAGAGATTTCTATTACTTAACAATCTCAAAAAAAGATCTTATTGAACTTTCCACACATTATTTAATTCTTTAAGGCGGTTGAAGTTAAGCTAGCAATTAAGATTAAGTTCGAATTTTAGGTAAAAGTCTTTGTTTTAATTTTTAGTTCTCAGACTTTTAAATGAATTTTTCTTCATTGTTATAATAAATTAAATGTATCTTACCTGTTGATCGAAATTGATCCAATGCTTAAAAGGGATACCCCAACACATCCATACCTTAACGTCGGGATTATCTTGCAAAGGACATCTCCATGTACCCACTTCCCATGGAAGAACTGACTGGCAGCAAAAGGTACAACTATAATGCCGAATATCGTGTCCGAAAAGCAGAGACTGAAAATAAGAAAAAAAATTGTCTACTAAGTTTAAAATAAAACTAATTTAAACTGTTAAACTTAAGCAGGATACACAAAAATTTGACAGAATTATATACAATTGCAGAAGAGTAGAAAGTGTACATAAATAAGAAGAATAAAGTAAACAAACTGTACTTACCTAGCGATAAATGCTGCGGCAACTGTGCGAAGTTTAGCATGCTTCACTAGTGCCACGCATGTCAACAGGTTACCAACTATTCCTACGACCATTATAACGATGGTCAGAACACCAGCTGATATCAACATTGGTTGCGAATATCTAGAAAGAAATACAAAATGTTATTTGTATAAAAAACATTAATTAAATAAAATTTGTCATATTTTAGAGTACGAGTACATGAATTGTAAGACTAATAAAACATTTTATTTGAACATTTTTCTCTTTTCCACTGTCATATTCTCAAATTTGTTACTTTTTTCTTTTCTGTCACTCTTTTCTCTTAAAATTCGCAATCTATAGGTAATAACTACTTCCTATCTCTTGCCTTCTGCTAGCTCTTACGTCTAGCACATGTTTTCTATTTCCTGTTCGTACCAACATATAAACTATAATTGATTTTTCCGGTCTCCTTGTTTCTACTCCAGTATAGAAGAGTGTGCATGATTAGTCTATTATCAAAGTCGCCAATCTCCATCTGAAGCAATTTTACAGGAACCGCGAAATTCTGTGGTAGCTTTTTTAACTGTGGTCTGTCAAGTATATACTAAAAAAATTTAAAAAGAAAAATTAACCATTGGCGATTGTGATACTCATACTGTAATTTTGGATACTTTGATGGGTCTGATGGGATTTGAAATGGGTCTAGTTAAATCAAAAGTCATTCTTGTCAAAATTAATTTTCTTCTAGTGCAATTTTAATGAAATTGTACAGATAGAGCTATATTTTCTTCACTTTGTTAACCACAGAATGAGTCTTCATGGTAAGGTAAGCTTGGTGGATCCATGTTCTGTAAAGGTGCTTTGTAGTATTCCAACCTTGAATTTTGGAGCCAAGTGTCTGCAAAATAAATTTCAGCAAATTATTGACGTCTTTTAATTTCTTCCGACTGGTACTTTGTAATTTTTGGCTTCAAGTATGATAGGATTAATACGAGATAACCTTTCTTTAATCTTGGTTAAGCTTCGAAACATTCCAGTTGAAACGTTGAAATTTGGATCCCTCTTCACCAAAATGTCTCCAGGTTTTTTGATGGATCGCTTTAGAAGAAGTCGTTTACATTCGATAAATTTAAAATGCCAGCCTTGTAGCTTTAATAAAGCTCTCAGCCTCGGTTTTCCAGTCGAAAAAGTTAAAATCTTGGTTAGCTTACAAAACAGTGGTATAATCTTTCATTTCAATATAATATTCTACGTAATTTGCTACAATGTAAAGTTTATTTATTTCTCTTTTAGTCAGTTCAAATATCATATCGGGAGAGATACATAAGTGCCCTCTAACAGAGGAATAATAGTTCCATTGTCTTTATAGTCACTGGAACTCGCTTGCATAACCATGTCAAGCACGTAGTAAGCACAATTCTATTCTTATTTTGACCGTTACATAAAAGTCTCAAAGTATTTAGCCTTGACATATCTGTTTGGCATAAACGGTGCCAGATCGCAGAGGCTACATGATTGGCAGATTTCCCGTATTGGTCCTCGGTCCAACAATAGCTGAATGAGTTCAGTGGCTAAAGTGCAGCCTTTGAGTATCCCTGAACGACAGTAAGATTATGTAAATAAAGCTGCCTGCTGTAGTATGCCTGCTGGTCTCTCACTTTTAGTAAGGAAAGGTTTTTCTGAGGGTCGAAGGATAAAGCGATTGTGTTGGTATTTTCTTCCTTCAGTAAATTATAGAATGCCTGGTTCGTAGCTTGTGAATTCTTTTTTGACATATTAAATTAGCTTTTTCACCTCCTTCAGATCATTTAATTTTTTCCTCTAATGATAAACATGTGGAACACATATGTATCTTTACGTGGTGTACCAAAGCCCAAATTGAAATTTTTGTTAAACACCTCTCGGAAAAACCTCTCCTGACCTGTTATGAGATGAATCCAGGTGAGTACATATCTCAAAACTAACATATTCGTTACAATAAAGTTGTGCAATAGATAATATTCCCATAGTTTACAATAATTATAGTTTCGTAACATTTATTGTACCTTATTTATATAATACTGTTCAAAAAATTGCATTTTTTTTATCCACTCGTAAATATACCACTTTATTAGACTCCTTTTTGACTTCTCAATATTTTTCCATAACATATTTTTCTTGAAATATTTCGTCCATACATTATTAAGATTGCAAAACTGTTTATTATTATCCTCTTCCATGCATACTAACAATATGCTTTCAAAATAGTTTTGAATTGTTTCAGTTTTGTTTTTTATATTATACTGATATGGTCATATTAATATTAATACTCTTTTCCGACATGTCATGCCTAAGTCCCTCCCAGCAGGTTTTTTTGGGTCTTGCCCTCCTACTACCTCCAGGAACCCGCAGATCAGCAATTCTTCGTATTGAGTGATTAACATATCTACGTTGACCATCTTAATTTATGCTCTGTCATATTGGCAATAATTGGTGCATTCTCTAGACTTTCCCTAGTATACACATTCCTAATTTTATCCTTTTTGGTCACTTCACTGATCCATCTAAACATTGATCCATTTGTTGTTCCTCTTTCTTTTTAACTGCTCCACATTCAGTTCTGTAGATGATAGCTGGTCTTGTAGCTGTTTTATAGAATTTTCCTTTCAGCTTCATTGGAATTTTTCTGTCACATAACACACCACTCGTTTCCGTCCACTTCATCCATCCATCCCTAATTCTACTGCATGCATCTTATTTCCTATTTCCCCATTACTCTGTAACACCGATCCTAGGTTCTTAAAACTATGACTTTTCTTAATAATTTCACCATCCAAATATATTTTGGTACTAACTTCATCTTTAAATGGACTCCATAATATTGTGAGTACACAAATACTCTGTTTTTTCGCTAAGATAGTCTCTTTCACTATTTCCTACTAACACTACATCATTAGCATACATTTAGAACCACGGAACATTACCTTGTATTTGATCCAAAACTAATGAGTATAAATAAGGGACTAAGCACCGAGCCTTAATGCAATCCTACTTTCACGTGAAAATTATCAATCTCTCCCACACCTGTTCTAACACTAGTTCATGACACTCCCTAACACATGTCTCTCACAATCTTTACATATTCACTGGGGACTCCTTTCTTATTAAGTGCCACAACCGAATCTCCCGAGAAACTCTATCATATGCTCTCTCAACATCAATGAATATCATACGAGCGTTTTTTCTCTATTTCTGTATTTTTTCATTAACTGCCTTATAATGAAAATTGCGTCTGTTGTTAATCTGCCGTGCATAAAGCCAAACTGGTTATCGGGTATTTCGGTTTCATCACGTATCCAACTGTCAATTCTTCTTCTCGTGCCACTCCTAGCGGAGATTGGAAATCATCATGGCCACTGCGACTTTGTTAGCAGCGCGCCTAAAAAGTTCAATCGAACTACACCCGAACCATTCACGTAGATTACGAAGCCACGTATATTTTCTTCTTCCCACACTTCTTTTGCCCTGCATGATGTTTCTTAAAAGTTCGTACTGTTCACCTCTCACAATGTGCCCCAAGTATTCCGTCTTTCTAGTTTTTATCTCATTAGAATTTCGCATCTTTTGTCTAAAGTTTGGAGTACTTGCGTGTTAGTAACGCGGTCCATCCATGATATTCTGAGAATGCGCCTATAGCACCACATCTCGAAAGCTTCGATTTTTTATGGTCAACTGTTTTAGTGTCCAAGCCTCAACTCCATATAACAGGGTAGAAAAGACATAACACCGCAGCATTCGTATTCGTAACTTTATATTAATATCACGATTGCAAAAGAGTTTGCGCATTCTATTAAAGACTGATCTAGCGATTTCTATTCTACATCTAATCTCTTTTGTTTGATCAGTATCGTCTGTGATCCAAGCACCTAGATATTTATAACAGGGCACACGCTCAATCGTTGTATTGTCTATTACAAGATTAGCTCTGATGTTCTTTGATTTCGTGATTACCATAAATTTAGTTTTTTTCAAATTTTCAAGCCGTAAATGTTACAGTATATATTGAGACTTTGAACGAGATGTTGTAGTTCTACTAGCGTTCCCGTTAGGAGAACTGTATCGTCAGCATACCTTATATTGTTGATCGTCTCACCATTTATTATCAGACCAAGATCTTCTTCCTCAAGTGCTTGTTCACAGATAGCTTCACTATACAGATTAAATAAAAGTGGCGATAAGATACATCCCTGCCGGACTCCTCGACGGATTTGAATTTCTTCTGTTAGTCTGCCCTCAACCTTGACATTTGCTGTTTGATTCCAATATAGATTGCATATAATTCGAATATCTAGGCTGTCTATATTTTTCTTTATTAGAACTTGTCTTAGTGGTTTATGTTGTACTTTGTCAAAGGCCTTTTCGAAATCAACTGTCAATTACTCTTCCATATTTTCATGGTGTGACTAAATAGTTTTATGGCCCTGCAGTTTGTACATTGTTGTACATCTCCCTTGTTTTTGTAGACGGGTACTAATACACTGCTTCACCATTTGTCTGGCATTTATCCAACTTCCATAATTCTATTAAATAATAAACCTGTTAACCAATTTGTCACTGTCTATCCTAATGCTTTCCACACTTTCCCAAGAATATCATCTGGTCCAACTGCTTTTCCTTTCTTTATTTTTTACATTGCTTGAGCCACTCTTTCGTTTGTTATTTCAGTCACCATTGCTGTTACTGTGTCCGTTAACTAAACTGGTTATCTGTCGACTTCTTCATTTTAATAACCTGTCAAAGTACTTTTTCCATCTCTTTTGGACATCCTTTTCGTGAATTAATATTTTTCCCATTTTCATCTCGAATACATCTAACCTGAATAAAATCTTTTACTTTCTTTGCTCTATGTTTGGCTGTTTTATAAATATAGGCTTCTCCTTTAATGGTATCAAGTTGATCAGAATATTATACGCTTTTGCTTTAGCTACTGCCACTTTTACTTCTTTTTTAACGACCGTATTGAATTAAAGATCTGTATCTGACCTATTTTATTGCCACTTGTCTGGTGTAAGTGAGTATATATCTATGGTCGATCTCTTTCTGTCCCTTTTTTTATTCCTACTATCACAAGCTTTTTCAATTTTATGCTTTTTAAATTAATTCGTTTTCTGTTCCATTAATAAACCTGACTATTATTGTATTGATACTAAAATCTACAATATTTTATACGGAGAATTTGACAAGGCTATTTGAAAATGTGAAAAAGTTTCTCTGTTTGACAAAACATAGAACACCAATGACTTAAATAATCTATAAAAAGAATAACAGGATAAAACTGTATAACTTATCCCGATAGACTATATAAGGATAACTGTATAAATAGCATTCATTAGTTTTTATTATGTTTTTTTTTGTAGCATTCCCTTAGCGGCACGTAAATGTATCTGCTGTTGTGAAATTCATAATCGCATTTTAAAGGAAATGATAACAAGGTATACAAATACAGCGGAAATTCCGAGGCTATTGTTCGTCATAGACTTTCTGTAATCTTTTATCTCGTTAAATTAACAAATCTGGGAAAAATTTAATCAATTATAAGTTTCTATTAATTATGGAACTGTATTTTTTATGTACCGAAATGTGTGCCGAATTCACAGAACAGTGACGCTTGTACAAGAATATTGAAGAATCAGAAGTTGTCTACTGTTTGGCTGCTTTGTTTATAACAATTAAGAATTAAAATCGGCGCTATTCAATAACTAAAGGCCTTTATTTTATGAGGATACGATTTTTGTTATTGGTGCCCCCATTTTGCTTATTTAAAGTATTCCTCAGAGTGTTTAAATTCAACTTTAATTCAAATTTAAAAAGCTTTATTAAAATATTTGAAAGTCTTAATATTTTAAATGAATGTAAAAAGTACAAATGGTATTGTTTGAAGTATTTATACTTTTGTTTTTTAAAACAGAAGAAATGATGTTTACATTAATACTACAGACATTTATCGGAAGCCAATGGGGTTGTACTTTCATTAATAGCACTCCAATTGTTAATTTTGTTAACCACTTGGTAACCATTAATGTCCCATTATTGTTTGAAACATTCATCTAATTCAAAATACTCTCTTTAACGTAACCAGACACCACAACTGCAGATTTCCATCCTACTTGTTGGATTTGATTTATTGTCACGCCAGTGTTTCCCATAATTTATTGTAGCTGACGTACGTCAAAACGCATGTCCAGTGTATGTCTTAGAATCGCTCAATTTGAGATAACGTGCAATTTCCAAGGGAAATGATCCAAATGTATTATTACCAACTATAACTATTTTACTTAATTAGTACACTTCCTTTATCATACCTTCACTTCCCTTTATCATACTTTGGGATCTTCAGTTTTCTAACATCATACTTCTTAATTACTATTAAACTGGGAATAAGCCACAATTAAAGATAAAAATACGTTTATTTAATTAATAAACGTATTTTTATCTTTAATTGTGGCTTATTCCCAGTTTAATAGTAATTAATTTACAATGCCACAAGAAAAATAGCTTCAAACAATATCATACTTCTTCATTCTGACTTTGAATTACCTACAACTGGTACATGATCATAATTTATATCTGTCCCGGGGTACGTTTTGATAGATGTACCTCTTATTTGCCATCAGGAATACGCATCCTTCTTCCTTAATGTTATATAAGCGTAAATCGCACAATTCACATCTTCTGCAAGTGCGAAAGATACCAAAAATGGCTACCAACTTCAAAAATAAATACGTTATGTCCAGAGCATCTGTGAAAATCTTCAGCAAATTGTCTTCCTTGAATCCATGCGCTTTCATGGCGAAAGAAGAGAGAATAGCTACTACAAACGACGACACGCCCCCCTAACGCCGAAACCAGTGAATGGGAGGGGAGTAGAAAATATAAATATGGCCTCCGTAGCACAACGCGGCGTCAGCCCTTGAGCACCAAGTCGCCGAACTGAGCCGGGACTCAGAGCGGAGACTTGAGGCCCAAGTAAGCAATTTAAGTTTGCGGATAAGCCACATTAAGATATCAGGAATATAGCGGAGATGCGCTGTTTTGAGTTTTTGCATTTGGCTGATTGTTGTGCCTCTATAGCGCATCAGAGTGCTATAGGGGGAAAGGGATGGTCTAGAGCATTGGAGCACGGTGGGGTAACTCCTGTTTTTACTCGAGTTAACACACCTTGCTCCAATGAATTGTTACACCCGATCGTACTACTAGGTGAACATTTCTCATAGGCTGGGTTCT